CCTCCTCCTCCTCCTCCTCTTTAATTCCAACTTAACCCACTGCTTAATTCCCCCCCGCCGCCAAAAAAAGTAAAAATTTTAAACATATATTAAACATATATGTTATGTATGCATGGAGCGAGAGAGATCTCCATGCATACATAACATGCCACGCAAGGAGAGGCACGCACATCGTCAGGGTAGCCCTATGAAGAGAAGAGAAGGTCCGCTCGGGGCTTTACCTCAGGCGTGGGTGGGCGCGTGGGTGTGTCGCGAGAAGGCGGGCGGGCGGGCGTGTAGGGGCGCCAGATGCCCCACTGCGCCGGCCGTCCTGCCTCTTTCGCGGCCGAGAGCCGGAGCCCGACAGCCCACGTGCCGCCAGGACGGGACAGGACAGGGCAGGCCACGCCCACCCGCGACCGAGGGCCCACGCACCCACGCACCCACGCGCGCCCCTCCTCGCCTGCCTCCCGCGCGCGCTTTCTCTCGCGCGCTCTCTCTCTGTCAGCGCGGTGCTCCTTCTGTGAGGCAGAGGGAAGCGAGCGAGTGTTTGTTGTGTGAGGCGGTGACAACAATAAACTCTCTTCTTTTTAAAGCCCTATATCAGGGGTAGGCAACCTTTCCCCTTTAAGGGCCGAGGGACTTCAGCTCCCAGAATCCCAGGAGCTATTGGCCAACATGGGACTATTGGCCAACATGGCTGAGGCTTCTGGGAGCTGAAGTCCCTCGGCCCTTAAAGGGGAAAGGTTGCCTACCCTTGCCCTATATGAAGGCAGTGGGCCTCAGCCTCAGCCAAGGAGGACGGGGCTGCCTTGGAATGGAGGACGTGACCAAAATAAAAGCTTTTAAAAAAAAACCCCAAAACCAAACCAACCACACTCATACAAAAATATAATAAATACACTGACAGAAATGTAAATCCATGCTTCTTAGCCCTGCTCAAAATGGAGGGCGTTCAGGAAAACAGCATGACCAAACAAAAGCTAGAAACACTCATAGAAATGTAAATCCATTCGTCTTCGTCATGCTCAAAATGGAGGACATGCGTGGAAAATGGAGGATGTGACCAAATGAAGTCAGTACACTCATAGAAATGTAAATCCGTGCTTCTTAGTCATGCTCAAAATGGAGGGCGTTCAAGAAAACGACACGACCAAATAAAAGTTAGAAACGCTCAGAAATGTAAAACCGTGCTTCTTAGCCCTGCTCAAAATGGAGGGCGTTCCAAAATAAAAAGCTAAAAAATACTGATAGAAATATAAATTCATGCCGCTTAGTCCTGCTCAAAATGGAGGGCATTCAAGAAAAATGGAGGATGTGACTACATAATACCTAAAAACATTCATAGAAATGTAAATTTGTGGTTCTTAGTCATTCTCAAAATGGAGGACATGTATGAAAAATAGAGGCTGTGCCCAAATGAAAGGTAAATACACTCATAGAAATGTAAATCCATGCTTCTTAGTCCTGCTCAAAATGGAGGGCGTTCAAGAAAATGGAGATCATGACCAAAAAATAGCTGATAGAAATGTAAATTCATGCCTCTCAGCCCTGCTCAAAATGGAGGATATTCCAAAATAAAAAGCTAAAAAAACTCATATAAACTCAGCCTTGTTAGCCATGCTCAAAATGGAGGACGTTCGAGAAAAATGGAGGAGGTGACCAAGTAATAGCTAAAAACACTCATAGAAATGTAAATTCATGCTTCTTAGTCATACTGAAGGTGGAGGACACGCAAGAAAAAGGGAGGAGGTGACCAAAAAATAGCTGGAAACACTCATAGTAATGTAAATTCGTGTTTCAATTTGCTCAAAATGGAGGACGTTCCAAAATAAAAAACTAAAAAAACACTCCTATAAATATAAATTCATGATTCTTAGTCCTCTCAAAATGGAGGGCATTCAAGAAAAAATGGGGGGGGGGGTTTACCAAATAACAATTAAAACCACTTATAGAAATATAAATTTATGTTTCTTAGTTGTGTTAAAAATGGAGGACATTTTGAAATTCCTCCTGGACAGAAGGCTGAAATGTAGGGCAGGTTCTTTATGAAACTGATGGGATCGCCATAAGTGACAGGCTAACTGAAGTAAGCTACTTGAGAGCCAGCGTTGCATAGTGCTTTGTGCATTGGACTATGACTCTGGAGACCAGGGTTCGATTCCCTGCTCAGCCATGAAACCCATTGGGTGACCTTGGGCAAGTCACACACTCTCAGCCTCAGAGGATGGCAATGGCAAACCTCCTCTGAACAAGAACAAATCTTGCCAAGAAAAGCCCATGATAGGCCTGCCTTAGGGTTACCATACATTGGAAAACATTTGAAGGCAAACGACTCTCATGGGGTTTTCTTGGCAAAATTTGTTCAGAGGAGGTTTGCCACTGCCTTCCCCTGAGGCTGAAAGCGTGTGACTTGGCCAAGGTCATCCAGCGGGTTTCGAACCCTGGTCTCCAGAATCACAGTCCAACACTCAAATCAACATGCCTTGCTGGCTCTCCTGGCCTACTTCCTCAGATGCAGTTGAAGTACAATAACATCCAGCCTAAGATATGCAGACGACAAAGTATTATTTGTTATATATTTGGAGCATTTATACCCCACTCTTCAGCCACAAAGTCTCTCAGAGCAGTTTACAAATGGTTAATTAGACAGGTTCCCTGCCCTCAGGCTTACAATCTAAAAACACAAGACACAAAAGGAGAAGGAAATGGCAGTGGGGAAGAGGATCGGGTCCAGCGGTTCTTCTCTCCCTCTGAGGCCTGGACCATGGCAGATGGACTGGAGGGAGGGCTCTCCTTAATTTAGGCTAGGCTAGGCCCGATGGAGGTGGGCCTGACTCTCTCCTTCTGAGGCCGGATGATATCAAATGGACTGGAGCAGGGGTAGGCAACCTTTCCCCTTTAAGAGCCGAGGGACTTCAGCTCCCAGAATCCCAGCATCTATTGGCCAACATGGGACTATTTGCCAACATGGCTGAGGCTTCTGGGAGCTGAAGTCCCTTGGCCCTTAAAGGGGAAAAGTTGCCTACCCCTGGACTGGAGGGAGGGCTCTTCTTCTTATTCCAAATCTAGGCCCAATGGAGTACTATTAGCAGAAACCAACAAGGATGTGGAGCAATTACTGAAGAAAGTTCAGGAGGAAAGTGCCAATGTAGGCTTGATGCTGGACATTAAGAAAACAAAAATAATGACCATGGAAGACCTACAAGAACTCATCCTAGATGACGAGAAAATTGAAATAAGAGTTCCCATACCCTGGATCGAATATTGACCAGAAGAGAGACTGCAGTCAAGAAATCAGAAGGAGACAAAGGGCCGATGCAGACCAGCCTAAAGGGACGGCACAGAGCCGCCCCTCAGAGCGGCGGATCGGGGCCATGACAACCGCACGCCGAGGCCCCGATCCTCCTTTTTGCCACCCCCCCAAAGAGCGGCAAAATGCCGCCCTTTCGGCCACAGTGGCGGCTCTTTTGCGCCCTTTTGGCACAGCGTGTGCGGACAGTGCGTCAAGAGGGTGTCCTGATGCTGCATGCCATGCAAACAGGCACGCGGCATCAGGACAGGGTTAGGGACCGGGTTAGGTTACCCCACCCCAACTCCACCCCCTGGCCAGTCCTTTAGGCCAGTCTGCAAAGCCCCTAGGACTGGGAAGGGCAGTTATGAAAGAACTGGAAAAGATCCTCAAGTGCAAAGGCAGGGGTAGGCAACCTTTCCCCTTTAAGGGCCAAGGGACTTCAGCTCCCAGAAGCCTCAGCCATGTTGGCCAATAGTCCTATGTTGGCCAATAGCTCCTGGGATTCTGGGAGCTGAAGTCCCTCGGCCCTTAAAGGGGAAAGGTTGCCTACCCCTGTGCAAAGATATAACTCATGCCCATGAGTCGTCCCCAACCTTCTCCCCCATCCCCCCATCTTCCACTGCTCTACACAGCTCCTATAATTTCATGGCCATGACTTCCCTGATTGAGTCTATCCATCAAGCATGTGGTCTTCCTCTCTTTCTATTGCCTTTTACCTTTCCTAGCATTATTGTCTTTTCCAATGAATCATACTTTCTCAGGATGTGGCCAAAGTTCTGCAGCCTCAATTTGATCATCTTGGCTTCCAGGATTGTTTCTGGTTTTATCTGCTCAAGGCTCCATTTGTTTCTCCCTCTTGGCTGTCCACAGTATCCTCAACACTCTTCTCAAATGCGTTCATTTTCCTCTTATTTCTTCTTCACTGTCCAACTCTCACATCCATATATGGTAATGAGGAATACAATGGCTTGGATAATTTTTAATTTAGTGTTCAGTTGTACAGTATATCTTTGTTCTTTATGACCTTGTCTAGTCTTTCCATAGCTACCTTTCCCATTCCAGTCTTCTGATTTCCTGACTACAGTCTCTCTACTCTGAACAACGTTTCTTTAACTATTTCTATTTCTTCATCCTAGGATGAATATGTGGATATGCATAGAAATATGCTGTCATTTGTTCTGGCCTAGGAGCATTTGTTTCCTGTTTTTAGAGGACCCACCAAAATCATTGTTATATTCTCCCTGTGCATTACTAGGCCAGTATGCAGTTCAGCCATCACCTGTCCCGATGTGGGACTGTTTAAGGGCTGGAACAAAAAGCCCCAAAGGGTAGCTTGAAGCTGCCCCTTCCAAAGATGGATTGGGGCTGCGGCAATCACACACCATGGCCCCAATCCGCCTTGAAGATCCGCTCCATTTTTGCCCAGGGAAAAGCTGGCTTTGCCAGCCCCACTGCACTCCCATGGCAGCTTCATGAAGCTGTGGCGGTGTGTGACGTATAATTGCCACACCACCGGAGTGTCATGAAGCTGCTTGCGTCTGAGCAGCCAGCCGGTTTCCCGCCGTCATCAGGATGTGCAGTATCTAAATCAGGGGTTGGCAACCCTTCCTTACCTGGGGCCGGTCCCTTACAGCGGGCCCTTCCGGTGGGCCGGGGGGGAGGAATGGCGGCGCGTGCGCAACCCCCACTGCCGCGCACGCTGCCAGCGCCGCCCCTCTTTGCATGTCGCAGCCACCATTTTGGCAAACAAAATGGCGGCCGCAGCGCATACGGCCACGCAGCGGCTAAAATGCGCTGCAGCAGCGGGCAGCAGCAGGGGTCAGTGGGGGACGGTAAGCGGGGGTCCGCGGGCCGGATGCGGCCTGCGGGCCATAGGTTGCCAACCCCTGGTCTCAATGCTGCATGCCAATGGTGCCTGGAAGGAGGATTTTTGGGCCATTTGTTCCAGCCCTAAATTGGTTTAAACTAATTTTATTTTATACTACCCTGATATCATATGCTACATGGTGGGAAAGTCATGTTTTAATTTATAGATAATTAAATAGAAGACTAAGTCAATGACAATGCCAAAAAAGCACAATTGCCACAACTGTATTCCTTAAAGTCTTTCAGCTTATCAGGATCCGCTCTCACGCTGCAGAATGAATGCAGTTTAACACCGCTTCAACTATGATGGCTCAATGCTAGCATCAGAGCTCTCTGACAGAGAAGGCTAAATATTTCACAAAACAACAAATCCCAGAATTTGATAGCACCGAACCGTGGCAGTTAAAGCAGGATCAAACTGCATTAGTTCTCCAGTGCAGATGCACCCCGAGAGTGGTATTCACATCATTACAACAGGTTTCAAATCCAGGGTTATAGTAGATCTGTCAGAAAGCTCTACTGAATACTGTGGACCTACTTCTAAGTATGTAACCATGGAATTGCCACAATATGTCTCACAGTAGGAACTCTTCTATCTTCTTTCTGTGGCAATTTATCTTGGTTTAGTGACTACAGAGTCCTTAGAGATAGAAGCAATGCAGGAAAAACAAATGAATCAGACTTTTGACAGCCATAATAAGTTCAAGGAGGTATAATGTAAACATTATTAAGTGTAATAAACACATGTCAGCATGAAACAACCTTGTGTAGAAGTTCCAGTAGGAGCCACAGTGAACTTCCTATTCATAATGTCTTTTTAACTTTATGTAGCTTGTATAATAGGAGTTCAGCATTGCTGCAGCCTTGACGGGAAATCTTTACTCTGTAATAGATAGGTCAGGTTCAAATGAGTGCCACTGGGAGGCTGCACACTTCCTTCATAGATGCAATGCAATAGTTGGGCCAACAGGAATGCCTGCTTTAAGCTTTCCCAGTTTAAATACTCATGAAATTTAGTAATTACATTGCAATGAATGAATTTGAACATAATATGAAGAACTGTGTCTAGGACGTGCATGCAAATCTTCTTTATGACATCCTGGTCTCCAAGATGATGATGATGATGTGTACCTTGAAGTTGTTTCTGACTTGTGGCAACTCTAACACAAACTTACAATGGGGTTTTAAGGGCAGCATTTGTTCAGAGTGGGTTTGCCCTTGCTTTCCTTCCTCTGAAGCTGAGAGAGTGTGAGCTGCTCAAGGTCACACAGGCTGCATCCCCACTGCAGAAATAATCCAGTTTGACACCACTTTAACTGCCATAATAATATTATACATTTTTTTTTCTTTCCCGCCTCTCTTCAAGGTGAGGTACAAAACACAATTAAAAAGAAAACACATAAAACCAACAGTTAAAATA